CCTTCACCCTGGCCAAAAAGGCTAAAATGACCAAAGAAAAAGTGGAAGACAGTTAAACATGAGAGGTTTTTGGACAAAGTTTGTTTTTTCCATTGTTTAAGCACTGCTTCCAACCAAGAGTGATATCATATATGCCCTATAGCTGCAGAAAAATCTAACATTATTATCTTTTTACAAAAAAACAGCTGAACATGAGAGGTTTTTGGAGCAATTTTGTGTTCTCCATTCTTTAAGCACCGGTTTGAGCACCGGCACCGTTTCAAAAGTACCAGTTTGGCACCAGTATCGGATAAAACCTAAACGATACCCATCCCTACTGAGAAGTAAGGAGCAGCAGTTTTGAAAACTGAGCTGAATGTTAGCGGGAACAAACATCTCCAAAAATGTTGGAGCAGTTTTACACATGGACTCTATCTTGTTAGACTGACTAGAAGATTAGATCATTAACTTCTAGACTAGAAAATATTCATTAATATTAATTAATAATTAATGAAATGTTTAATAATAAAATTAACTGATATTTATTTAATTATTTATATATACTTTAATTGATGCCACATTTAATTAATACTTCATGATGTATTTATTTAATTCATTTTGGCACTCATGGCCCTCTGTATCTGTCAGCCTGGCTAAAGCTCTGAAAACAAAGCCGGGGTTATTCCCATCTTATCTTTTTCAAGATATGTATTTACGAGTTACATCAGGGAGTCAAGTACTTGTGATTTGTGGATTTCTTTGTCAGTATCCAGATGTATGTAACACTAATAACAGCCGACCTCTGTGAGAGCAGAGTTGAGGTGGCTGCTCTGCACTGTGTTGGCACATGAAGAAGATAACACTGGAGGGATTACATCCATACACTCAGTTACAGCACTTTCAAAAAGACATCTCCTATAATGTATTCCTCACTGCTGTGTAATTCATTATTGTAAATGTAAAGTTATGCGGCGGCTGACCACAGCAGCTGTCTGCCACTTACAGTGTAGTTTTGACCTCAATAGGTCACATGACAGGGTGAGGCAAGGTCTCACAGTGTTTTCACCTGAAACCTCAGGTGATCATTACAGACGCCTTTTTCACTCCTTGGCTCAAGTGACGAGGCTCATGATTAATAGTGGGCCAACAATCCTCTTAAGAGACAACCCCCACTAGGGTTTTTTTTTTAAATGTAATTTGTATTTACATTTTTTAATCATCTATAAGAAGATGTACATTGAAAAAAAAATGTGTGAATAATTTCATATTTCAACTTATTAAATGCATCTAAGACTAAATCAGTCAGTGAATGTATTACAGCTCTGAGACTTCAGCCCTAGGATGTCAACATCATGATAGTGCTGCTTTGCTGGGACCTCAGCAGCTCATTAAGATCCACTTAGTGCTGACGTCACTAAGCTGCTTACTGCTGCAGGTGAATGGAGAAAGGAACTGAAAAAGATTTGTTTACACTGATGTAGGACTCAAGTCTAGCAGGCAACATCATGAGCACTATTTTATTGTAGATAGTAAATTACCTGACTGATTACTGACAATCCGGATTTTGGATTTTGTGGGCTGCCATGGAGTGCAGTGGCAAGGTAACTGCTGCTTGATTCATATAGGATGAAGATTTTGTTTGTTGAAAAAATAAATAGGTCAGGAATACAATTAAAAAGCTCCAGTGTTTAATCCATTATGTGGCAGCACGTTTTCACAGCAGACATCATGTCATAGTGAGTGAAACAATAACTTCAGATACAAAAATTAGGATGTTTTAATGGTGTGTTTGACCTAAATTCAGCAGCACAGTCAGGACTTCTACTCCTTTTCTTACAGCTGTAAGCAGTGCTTCCATTTTCTTATTACAATGTGAGATAGTAGCAACAGAAGATAATTTTAGTCTTTGTCTTACAAATGTTTTGCATAAACACTGTTTTACAACAAGTGATTCAAAATTTATGTAAAATAATAAAGTTTGATCAGTCTTAAACTATCAGTAAAGAAGTAAAATTGATGCATTAATATGTGGATTAGTAGTTTTTTAAGATGGTCTGCGTTTAAGTATTTAAGCACTTTTATACAGCATGCCATATGCAATTTTGTGTAAAGTTGTGTTACACATCATAGGACCTGTGTACATTCGTACTGTATATGCTGATGTAATTGACTGTACAGCAGAAGCAGCACTCCTGACATGACAGGGATTAGACTTTAATTTTATTACAGGCTTAGCTATAATAATAGTTAGTTTAGAAGCTATAGCACTGCAAATGAAAGAGCAAGCACACAAATACATATAAACTATATAAAATAAACTTTATTATAATTACTATTATTATTAATTTCTTTCCTTCACCCTGTCACATACACAATGATACAATGCTTTCATCTACACTAACACTAACACTTTGAAAACAAGTCAAGAAACAGAGGATGTCATATTGTTAAATGGAAGGTAAAAGTATCAGCCTACAGATGGATGAGATCAGAGAAAAACAAATCAAAGTGAAAAGAACAGGGTACCAGTGGTGGACTTGCCAGTTCAGGTATTCTGTGTCAAATGCCAGCTGGGCTGCATGGTACCAGGCAGTGGGCACAGGGTCCATTATAGGATGTCGAGCCCACAGGCCACCCACATGAAGTCACTAGTTGGTGGGAGACATTACTGGCCTTCTGGTGGTCATTTTGTAGGACTATGGCAGCACTCACCCAGTTCCTGCTTGCAAAAAGAGGCAGATACCAGTACTGCTGATGGGTTTTTACCTTCTATGAACATGTCCAGCTCCCCTGTATGCTCTTGAGTCTGTTCAGGGAGACACAGCAAACCTTGTTTGCCTTGTTTGTGCCATCCTGGAGGAGGTGAACTGCCTGTTCAACCTCTGTAGGGTCCAGGTATTGCCTCATGCTACCAGTGGTTGCACTGACCCTAGGCAAATGTAAAACTAATCAAAAATAGTCAGAAAATATGAAGAGGGACAGATGTATTCATATTTTGGGAGTTGTCTCAGTGCTGCCCCTCTAGTGCACCTGTTGTTAATTTCATTAACACCAAAGTAGCTGAACCTGATTAACAACCCCCTCTGCTACTTAACTAACCAGATCAATAGATACATTTATACATGCCAATCGATGCATCAGGGATTAATCCATCAACGATAAACAACCTGCATCCATCCATTCAAAGTTTACACAATATTTCAATTAGAACTACAGTGCAATTCTTCAGCATTTCTTCTTATAGTGCAAAATAACCTCTTTGTTCACCTAAAAAGTCTTGAAGCCATGTCTGAGTATGTCAGCATCTAACTGCAATACTGCAGTCCTCCATGAAACACTTCTGTCACTCTGATGTGCTCTCTGGGGTTTGATCAGCTCACTAAGTTTGTCCATTTTGCTAAATATACACCTCACATTCCTGATTATGCTTGCTGAAACAGCTCGATTGAATTCTCATTGTTTGCTATGAAGTTTCTGCAGGATTACGATCCTCATTCTGGGTACCACAACAGTCAGAGCAATCAGCTGTTGCTGATTTCTGTTTCCAAGAGAGTAAGGGAAAACGAGTAGCAGCCTGGTAAAACCTGACTTAACCAGTCAAGGTAGTGCAGGTTTTCTTCTAAATGGAAGATTGATGCTTTGATCCCTGGCTCCTGGGCAAGATACTGTACACCATGTTTCCACAATCCATCCATCAGTGAGTGTGTGAATCTTAGACAAAGCAAAGGCATATATTGAAATTGCTGTGCTGATGCATGAACGAGGTTTGCAGCTAGAGAAATAAAGTGCTACATAACTACAAAATATCAAAAGAAAATGTAACTTTTGCATGAATCAAAATGATCGAGAGAAATGAATGTTATCAAGTGATAAAGTTATTAGAATAAAAAATAGAACTCCAAATTTGATCTTTTTACCCATACACAGTTTTAGGAGGGTTGTAACGTGATTAAAAAGGGATTGTTCCTCTTCCAGCAGTAATTATCAATCTTCTCTTTCTGTCTTATAACAATAGGTGACGCCCCAGCTGATGATCACAGTAGGGACAGCTGTGATTGGCTCGCTTCAGTTTGGCTACAATACTGGCGTCATCAATGCTCCTCAAAATGTGAGAGTTTCATTGTCTGAATGAAGAATGTAAAGGAGGAAAAAATATACATATTTGAAAATGTGTCAGAACAAATGGAATTAGAATAGCGATACAGTAGTTAGTTTCACTGATGAAGATCAAGTCTCTTTTTTTCAGTTAAGGTTTTGAAGCTGAATCTATGTGGTATATTTACTGTTTTCACATGTATTAATTTATGTGGCTTAAACAGGCCCATCTCAAACAAACGTGTCAGTGTTAAATGTTGTTAACACATAGTGAAAAGTTCAGATGACTTAAAAGAACATTTTTATGAAATCACAATGCCAGTAGCACTCCACACGATGACTTCAACAGGGTTAGCAGTTGTCCTCTGAGACCCACCACCCTGCAAGCAGATAGCCAGTGGTCACTCCAGCCTCTGCAACTCAGCTGCCTTTAAGCTGTGGCATATAATAGGCCCTGGCCTGCACAGAGAGACAAAATAACACCTCCACTATATAAATCATAGCACAAAACCCATCAATCCCAAATATATCAGGTTTCATCACATTACATACCTGCACAGAGAGACAAAATGACACAGCAGTGTTTGTAGTGTGGGCTTTAAGTAGACCAGTGTATCAGTGCAATCAATTACACCTGCCTAGTAGTCCAACCACATTACAGCCATTGGCTCACCAGAAATGTGACACACACACACACTCCCAACCCAGTGCAACTTTACACAATAATATGGAGATGAAGTAATACAGGCACATTAGTTTACCATGTTACACTCTGGGTCCCTCCTGAATGACTGAACTTCTCACCTTATCTCTAACGCTGATTGCAGAAAACTCATTTTTACTGTGTGTATCTGCAATCCGATTCTATCGGTCATTACCCAGAGCTTGATGCCATCAGTGAGGGTAGGGACATAGAGTGACCGGTAAATTGACAGCTTTACTCAGCGCTCTTCATCTCAACAGACCAGTAAAGCACTCAAATCTGCAGTGGTGTGGAATCTCATTACCTCCCCCCTTACATGTGACCAAGAACCAGAAATACTTAAGCTTCTCCACTTGAGCCAACAACTTCCCGACCCTGAGTGGGCATTCTACCCTTTTCCTGCTGAGAACCATGGAGTCACATTTGGAGGTGGTGATTCTCTTTCCCACTGCTTCAAGCCACCACCTGGTTAAGGCAAGAGAACCATGTCATCTACAAAAAGCAGCCACAAGATCCTGTAGAAGGCTTCTACTTTGGTAGAAGCCTTCGGCCACTTGGCTCCACCTACAAATTCTACCCATAAAAATTCTGAACAAAGTGGTGACAAAGACTCACTGTAAACAAGTCAGACTGAATTCAATCCCAGTCATATAGCGCCAAAACACAATAGTTGCCCCAAGGTGCTTCATATTGTAAGGTGAAGACCCTACAATAATACAGAGAAAACGGCAATGGTCAGTAAACCCACTTTGAGCAAGCACTTGGCAACAGTGGGAAGGAAAAACGCTCTTTAACAGGAAGAATTCTACAACTGTGCAAGAGAGGCAGATAATAAATATAACTAAGGATTAAATGAAGAAGAAGAAGTATTCCTTCCATACCACTGATTTTACTGTACCACTGATCCTCGGTTGAAGTCAGCGGTGCCCCACTCACACTATACAGTGTGAGTAGAGCACCCCTCCTGAGTTACCTGACATTTAGCCAGAACTGCTTTAACCTCCTAGAACCCTGCGTCCACATATTTGGACATCACATTTTGGGTTATTTATATAAAATATAATACTCAATTTTGCCTGATATCCACTTGCGAGGACATTATACTGCCACTGTTCTATCGAAATTTTAAACGAATATCCTCATTTGTGGCTCTCATTTTTCTTAGAAACAAAAATCAGGTAAAAAAAAATCTGGTAATTCTTTGTTTTTACATTCATCGGGCCCCAATATGCCCAAATATCAAAGAGAAATTACAAATGCATGCTGTGGAAGAGTTTGGGTCTTAGGAGGTTAAGGCTGAAGAAAAATCATCTTTAAATTGTCACTGGGTCCCAGTGTTTGTGAGTTTCTTTGTATTTTGTTATTCATTTGTGTTCTTCATTTTAGCTTATCTAGCTAAATTCTGTCACACCTAGGTTACAGTTCATGGTTTATCAGGTTCCCCTTGTGGCTCACCCCTGTGTTTTAGTCTCCCTTATTGGTTAGTGTATCTAATCTGTCATGTCATGTCTGCTTCTTTTTATGGTTCCTGTTTTACTTTGAAGGGGTCTTGGGGTCCATGTTCATTGTTTTAGTTTCCCTTCCACTGTGGCATCATTAGGTTCATTCTTGTCAGCTGTTTTCCCATGTGCCTCCATTTCCCCTAATAACCTTATGTGTGTGTTTAAGTCCTCTGTGTTCCTTTGTTCTGTGTCTGTGTTCTGCATTACCTCCATCATGTCACAGTTCTCATAGTCATTATCTTGTTTCAGTCATAGTAAAAGTCATGGTTTTCCCAGTGTGTGTTTAGATTTTCCCTCATTTTGTTTGTTGTGTTTTATGTTTGTGAGTTTCAACCCCAAAATAAAGGCTCGCTTTTTGTTCAAGTTTAGTTTTGGCTCCTCGTCTGCGTCTGCTCCTAGTCCTCCTCACACACTCCACACGGTCTGCTTTCGCAGGCCGTGACATAAATGTAGCTACATACATGCGTATGAGGTATCATGTTCACCAAATTAGAATGGTATCAGAAGGATAATGACTGACTGTATTACTCTTACATATGACCTGTTGATGAAAGTTCTGGAGAGAAAGTTAAAGACCACCCAAGTCATGAAGTCTGAAAGAGTTGGAAATATTAGACTCTAGAAATTAAATGACAACGCAGTGTATCCAATACTTGTCTTTGTATTTCACCCTGAGCGTAAAGTATTAAATCACTAAGGGTCACTAAGCAAAAGTTGGGATTAAAGTGCTGTTGTGTACATAAGAGCTACTTCACTTTACTTTAATCTGTCTTTATGTGTCTTACAATAAGACTGTTACTGCGTACTGTTTTATGTTTTAGATCATTGAGAGCTTCTACAATGAGACATGGAGCAGCAGGTTTTCAGAGCCCATCCCTCAGACCACTCTAACAGCTCTGTGGTCTCTCTCTGTGGCCATCTTCTCTGTGGGAGGGATGTTTGGCTCCTTTTCTGTCGGTCTCTTTGTTAACCGCTTTGGCAGGTATGACTTTCTCCGTTGCTAACAAGATCTATATACATCCATATTTTTTTTAATTACATTTAAAAATTAAATTTTTTTAAAGTTTTCTTATTAAAGAGCATTTATGGTAAATTATTTTTTAAAGGAGGAACTCCATGCTCATGGCCAATGTGCTTGCATTCATTTCTGCAATATTTATGGGATTCTCCAAATTGGCTGCTTCCTTTGAGATGCTCATTATTGGACGTTTAATTGTGGGTCTCTATTCTGGCCTGTCCACTGGTTTTGTGCCCATGTACATTGAGGAAATCTCACCCACATCTCTCCGGGGAGCATTAGGAACGCTGCATCAGCTTGGTGTAGTGATTGGCATTCTCATGGCACAGGTGAGAGCCTTACATTTTTAACCACAAATACTCCCACCATTTACCAGTTTGAGTAACATTTGATTAATAAGTAATTAATTAATATGATTGCGTATAATCACTTTCATAAGTTCCTAGATAATGACATATTTTTTGTGATTTTTGCCTCTGTACACTCTGCACACCACCACAGGAGAGTCCAGTGTTACAGGGCTATACTCTGCTCACATTCAGCCAAATGCTGTAAAAATATTCATTATCCACGTGCATTGTTTCACAGTGTAGACCGCAAAAGCCACCCAAGTGTTATTCAAGGCAAAGAAACTGTATTCGCTATGACCAAGAGAGTCACCTGATTTCAATCCAATAGATTGTGCTTTTCAGTTAATGAAGACAAAATGAAGGCACAGATGCCAACAAACAAGGCAGCTGCAGTGAAGGCCTGGCAACGCATTGACAATACTACAGTTTCTACAGTATAAGACACAACTATACTGTAGATGATTTTAGTAACTTCCAGGTAAACAGTAAAACAGCACCACCAAGGCTGGAGATGGGACAATACTGGAAGAGCATATGGGAGAAGGACGTAACACATAGCAGCAATGCTCAGTGGCTAGTGGATCTAAGAGCAAACCACAGCAACCTCCCTGAACAGGGTCCAGTGACCATCACAGTGGCAGACATCCAAGAAAGGATCTCCAATATGAAGACTTGGACAGCACCAGGCCCCAACATAGTTCACGCCTACTGGCTGAAGAAGCTGACTGCACTCCACAAGCGTCTGGCAGCACAAATGAACCAGCTGCTAGTGGATGAGAGACACCCAGAATGGCTAACCGAAGGCCGGACAGTCCTGATCCTCAAATACCCCCAGAAGAAACTGGTCCCATCCAATCCAGGAACAACACTGGAGATCTCTATCCAGAAGAGCGCAGACCCAGAAACAGCTAAGATACTGTGCAGGACCCTCAAGCTCCCCGGCCTCTCGTAGAGGACCCGAGTTTGAAGGATAGACCGCCCACAGGGGCAAGAGGGGAATTAAATTTTTAAAAAATATATAAATGCTGACACTTCAAGCATTTGATGTCGTTACTAATTTACTGTTGTGCATATTCCAAGTCTGAAAGGGGCTTTCAAATAAGGAGTGTATTGTATACATTGTTTAGATTTTTGGGCTTGAATCCATCATGGGGAATGCATCCCTATGGCCCCTCCTACTGGGTTTTACTCTGCTACCATCTGTGCTGCAATGTGTCCTGTTGCCTCTCTGTCCTGAGAGCCCCCGATACCTCCTCATCAACCTCAACGAGGAGAACAAAGCCCGCGGCGGTAAGATGAACACACTGTCATGAGAGATGAAGAAAAAATCAAATGCAATCAGACAGGAACATTTGGGGATTATAGATTACAGTACAAAGAGGCAGGCATGTTCTCAAATGTCCTGACTCCCAATGTCTAAAACTAAAAATTGCTGTTCATTAGAATAAACACAGAAGAATACACACATAGACACATTCACATTCAGACACTCAAATACACAATAGAGACTCATTGTAAACAACACCTATATCTGAAGTTACACAAATAAATCTTCTTTTATCCACACAATTTCTGCCATAACCATCTAATATACTGCTAGACAGTTGTAACATAATAACATAGAGATAACTTCTGTCTTCCAGTCCTAATTAAACTACGGGGTACTGATGAGGTGAGTGAGGAAATGGAGGAGATGAAGGAGGAGAGCCAGCAGATGATGAAGGAAAAGAAGGTGACCATCCCTGAACTTTTCCGCTCCCCCGTGTACCGCCAGCCCATCTTTGTTGCCATCATGCTGCAGCTGTCACAGCAACTGTCTGGTATCAATGCTGTAAGTCAAATAAGCAAAAGAGAACTTGTGCATTCTATTGTAGTGAATGCCATAGAGTATAAAACAAAGGGTATAAGATAGACTATAAAATGTTTTACATCTCTTAAGCTACATAGATTACAAATGACCTAAACATTTAGTAACATGAACTACTGTGCTACTACTGTACTACTACTACTACTACTAAAATGATTAGTCATAACTCATGTTCTTGAAATCATTATTCATTAACAGTGCATTCGAGTTGAAGTGCAAGGTGTAGAGAAGAAATTCATGCACAGAAAGATATAAAGTGCAAGCATCGCACCTGTGTCTTGTGTCTGTCATCTTCTGTAGGTGTTTTACTACTCAACTATGATCTTTGAGCGAGCAGGCGTGTCCCAGCCTGTCTATGCAACTATCGGCACAGGAGTGGTCAACACTGCATTCACAGTTGTTTCTGTAAGTTGCAAAAGAACAAGTTGAAACAAAAAATAAGCTCTATGTATATATACATATATATATCCTATATATATCCTAGGAACAGCTAAAATACTGCACAAGCTCCCAGGCTTCTGGTAGAAGACCCAGGCCTTAAAGATAGACTGCCTACAGGGACGAGAGGGGGATTTTATATTCCAGAATGAGAGAATCTCGGTTGGAGGGTAGGCGGCTAACAGAGGTGTGCAACAGTATCATTAGAGACAGGTCCTGTTTGAATAAGATACATAACTGTACATAACTGAGGATCTATAAACTGCCAAACAAAATACCAGAGAATCTGAGGTCAAAATAATAAATAGCCTGTTCTCCAAAGACCTATCCAGGGCACAGTCCCAGCTGCATGGGAACAATAGTACAAGAGCAGACCCATGAAGAGCTAATACTGAGCAATGTTGGAAAAACACACAGGAGGAAGGAATTCTTGTGGAAGACCTAAACCAATACCAGGTGGATAGCTGGGAAAAATGATTAAGGAAGAGGAAAGATTTTGGTATACCGCGGTGTTCTTTTTAGCCTCCAGAGCTGTAAACTGGCTACATTTATTAAATGTATCATTATACTAAGGAAGGCTGAGTACCTAAACATGTAACACACTGAGCAGGAAAGTGCAGCTAGCTAGTTGGTTATGAACTAAGCTAAGCTGACAAATCCCAGTGAATGAATACTGTGAATTTTAATTAGATTCAGCAGAGAGTGTGCTTTGAATAAGGCACGTGAAGATTAAACTATAATAATAATAATAATACATTTTATTTAAAGGCGCCATCCTCCTGCAAGTCCACCACCCGCAGGAGGCGCCATAGGGGTCGGGTGCATTGTGTGGTGGGCGGCGGCCAGGAGTGGAGGCCCTGGTGGACTGATCCAAGACTGGCATTTGGGACATGGAATGTCACCTCTCTGGTGGGGAAGGAGCCTGAGTTAGTGCGTGAGGTTGAGAGTTCCTGGCTAGATGTAGTCGGGCTCACTTCAGCGCATGACTTGGGCTCTGGAACCAGTCTCCTGGAGAGGGGCTGGACTCTGTCTCAGTCTGGAGTTGCCCCTGGCGAGAGGCAGCGGGCTGGAGTGGGTATTTTAATATCTTCTTGGCTTACTGCCTGTATGTTGGGGTTCCTGGATGAGAGGGTTTGTTCCCTGCACCTTTGGGTTGGGGAACAGGTCCTGACTGTCATCTGCGCTTATGCGCCGAGTGGCAGCTCAGAGTACCCAGCCTTTTTAGAATCCCTGGGTGGAGTGCTGGAAGATGCTCCGCCTGTTGTCCTAATGGGGGACTTCAATGCTCGCGTGGGTAACGACAGCGAGACCTGGAGGGGCGTGATCTGAACCCAAGTGATGTTTTGTTATTGCACTTCTGTGCAAACCACAGTTTGGCCATAACGAACACCATGTTCGAACATAAGAGTATCCAAAGTGCACGTGGCACCAGGACGCTCTAGGCTGCAGGTCGATGATCGATTTTGTAATCATATCACCAGAGCTGCGGCCATATGTTCTCGACACTCGGGTAAAGAGAGGGGCTGAGCTGTCAACTGAATACCACCTGGTGGTGAGTTGGATTAGACGGCGGGGGAGAACACTGGACAGACCCGGTGCACCTAAACGTGTGTGTGCTGGGAACGCGTAGCAGACTGTGCTTACTGTGCTGTGGTGGCAAGGTGGTTGGTGCCTGTCGTGGTAATCCCCGAACCAAATGGTGGACACCAGAGGTGAAGGGAGCCACCAGGCTGAAGAAAGAGTCCTATCTGACTTGGCTAGCCCAATAGGACAAGCGGAATGTGGCTCCGGCAGTGGCTGAAGCAAATACTCAGGTGTGGGAGGAGTTCGAAGAGGCCATGGAAAAAGACTTTCAGACTGCCTCGAAGAGATTCTGGCGAACCGTCAGGCGACTCAGGAGACGAAAGCAGTACTGCGTATAGTGCTGGTGGAGCGCTACTGACTTCGAATGCGAAAATTGTTGGGCGGTGGAAGGAATACTTCGAGGACCTCCTCAATCCCACTGACATGTCTTACGAGGAGGAAGCAGAGTCTGGGGATGAGGGGGATGACCTGCCAATTTTGGGGGGTGAGGTCACTGAAGCAGTTAAACAACTCCTTGGTGGCAGAGCCCCTGGTGTGCATGAGGTCCGCCCTGAGTTCCTGAAGGCTCTGTATGTTGTAGGGCTGTCCTGGCTGACACGCCTCTGCAATGTTGTGTGGAGATTAGGGGCGGTACCCCTGGACTGCAGACCGGGGTGGTGGTCCCCATTTTTAAGAAGGGGGACCAGAGGGTGTGTTACAACTACATGGGGATCACACTCCTCAGCCTCCCTGGGAAAGTCTATGCCAGGGTGTTGGAAAGGAGAGTCTGTCCGTTAGTCGAACCTCGGATACAAGAGGAACAACGTGGTTTTTGTCCTAGTAGCGAAATACTGGCCCAGCTCTTTATCCTCTCGAGGATACTTGAGGGCGCACTGGAGTTTACCCAACCAATCTACATGTGTTATGTGGACTTGGAGAAGGCATTCGACCATGTCTCTTGGGGTGTCCTGTGGGAGGTGCTGCGGAAGTAAGGAGTGTCTGGCCTATTGCTATGGGCCATTCGATCCCTATACAACCATTGCAAGACTTTGGTTTGCATAGCCGGCAATAAATTGGACTCCTTCCCAGGGGGTGGTGGGCTCCGCCAGGGCTGCCCTTTGTTACCGATTCTGTTCATAACTTTTATGGACAGGATTTCTAGGCACAGCCAAGTGGCGGAGGACTTTCACTTAGGTGGCTTGAGAATCTCATCTTTTCACAGATGATGTGGTTCTGTTGGCTTCATCGGGTGATGGTCTCCAGCTCACACTGGAACAGTTCGCAGCCTAGTGTGAAGCAGCACGAATGAGGATCAGCAACTCCAAATCTGAGGCCATGGTTCTCAACTGGGACAAGTTCCTGCCCCAAGTGAAGGAGTTTAATTATCTTGAGGTCTTATTCACAAGTGATGGGAGAAGGGAACTGGAGATCAACAGACGGATTGGTGCTGCGGCTGCAGTGATGCAGACGCTGTACCGGTCTGTTGTGGTGAAGAGAGAGCTGAGCGTAAAAGCGAAGCTCTCAATTTACCGGTTGATCTACGCCCCTACCCTCACCTATGGTCAGGAGCTGTGGGTAGTGACTGAAAGAATGATATTGCGGATACAAGCAGCGGAAATGAGCTTATTCTGAAGGGTGGCTGACTTCTCCCTTAGGGATAGGGTGAGAAGTTCAGCCACCAGAGAGGGGCTCAGAGTAGAGCCGCTGCTCCTCCACATTGAAAGCAGCCAGTTGAGGTGGTTCGGGCATCTGACAAGGATGCCTCCTGGGTGCGGTGTTCCAGGCATGTCTCACCAGGACGGGGCCCGGTGAGACATCGGCTGGCCAGGGAACACCTTAGTGTTCCCCCCGGACAAGCTAGAGGAGGTGGCTGGGGTTGAGGGAGGTCTGGCCTTCTCTACTTAGGCTGCTGCCCCGCGACCCAGCCCCGGATAAGTGGAAGAAGATTAATCGATGGATGGATAGATGGATAATATGAAATAAGATGTTATCTAAAAGTTTCAATAAAATGGGCTACACAGATAAACAACACAAAACACCACTGTGCATTGCAACAGGAACAGGAAGTGACACTGTGTCGCAGAGAGAGCCAACACCAAGTGAAACTACCCAATGAATAAGAGAAAGGAAATCTGATTTTATTAAATGAAATATGGCATCACAGAAGTTCTGGCACCATCTTGTGCTTTTAATGTGTAACATTATAACATATAATGGAGTCATTATATGCTGGAGTCAGTGTCCGATGACCTTGAGTCACTGTGATGCACAGGCATCACATGTCCTATCTGTGGTTTGGCGAATTAAAGTTTGCATGAAACCCAAGTCCTCTTGTGGCTCTCGTGAAACCTCTTGGCATCTTACTAGAATGCTATATGTTCCTCTCAGCAACACAGAATACTGGACTGAACGTAGCATCTTGAGCTGGTGCTGGTTCACCACCACCTGCTCTGCTGCATAGAGGCTAGCTCTACTACCATCTTTGCCAGTGCCTGGACTGGCTGCGTGGGTTGTGGGTACATCATGTTGCACTGAGTTTTATGAGTTTTAAGTTTTATTCCATATATTTTGGGGGATTTTTAAGTACTGTTGAACTTTAACAGTAGATGATTATATATTACTGTTTTTATGATGGTTTCCTTTGGGCATTTTAAATATTCATTTTTTTTAATGGATTACAGTTATGATCCATTGATATTACCCCCACTGTGAATACTGGTATTATGTTTGGTTTATGTTGTCATATTATAACATCTGTATGTCTTGTAGTTGTTTGTGGTGGAGCGTATGGGTAGGAGACCCCTTCACCTCATTGGTCTGATGGGAATGGCCGTTTCAGCAGTTTTTCTAACCGTGGCCATGGCATTGTTGGTAAGTGTTTGTGGTCACCATTACTGAAAGCAGGCCTTTTGAATAAAACGGTAGTTTGCAACAATGTTACTGTAGATCAGGGGTCCCCAATCCCAGTCCACAAGGGCCAGTGTCCCTGCAGGTTTTAGTTGTGTCCTTGATCCATCACAGCTGATTTAAATGGCTAAATGACCTCCTCAACATGTCTTGAAGTTTTCCAGAGGCCTGGTAATTAACTAACCATGTGATTCAGGTGTGTTGACCCAGGGTGAGATCTAAAACCTGCAGGGACACCGGCCCTCATGGACTGGGATTGGGGACCCCTGCTGTAGATCAAGAGCAATAAAAATCTGACCATGTAAAAAAAAATAGACCATGAAACTGATGATTTTCTGTGATATGCTTTGCTTTAAGGACCAGCTAAAGTGGATGTCTTACATTAGCATTGTGGCCATCTTCAGTTTTGTAGCCTTTTTTGAAATTGGCCCTGGCCCCATCCCATGGTTTATTGTGGCTGAACTCTTCAGCCAAGGGCCCCGTCCTGCTGCCATTGCAGTTGCTGGTTTCTCCAATTGGTCTGCCAACTTCTTAGTGGGGATGTGCTTCCAGTACATTGAGGTAAGACAGCTTTTATTTAAAATTTTGTTTGTTTGTTTTGGGGCTCCTATTTTCAGTTGTACAACTCATAGAGTGCTTTTGCTCCATGGATTAGATAACAACAGACTCTCAGTTGGCTACAGGTATAATCCGGTGAACATAAAACCTCTGTAAATGTGCACTCTAACAACAGAAGATCCAATCAGAATTCATAATTCAGTTTGAATTGGCTGCCCTTAAAAAACAAAGAGCCAATTTTTTTTTTTAAATAAATTTGGTATTCAAGCAATACACTCTCAGCACTGGTCTAGAAAAGTCCTGTTCTGTGAGTGTCTTGCGGACCATTTGTATTTCAATTTCTATAGCTCCAATTCACACACACACAAACACACACACAGAGATACATACATACATATATATATATATATATACATAATGTAATTATTAGCTTGTTGTCTGCAACAACGACAGAATTGAGCCTTTCCCTTTAATCCAGCAACTCTGTGGCCCCTACGTCTTCATCATCTTCACCATCTTGCTGCTCGGCTTCTTCGTCTTCACCTACTTCAAGGTTCCAGAAACTAAGGGCTGCACTTTTGATGAGATTGCAGCGGGCTTCCGCCAGACAGCAGGTCAGGGATCTGACAAGTACTCAGCCCCGGAAGAATTCAACACCCTGAGGGGGGATGACCCTGATCTTTGAAAGTTTGTTCATGTAGGGAACACTGTTGTCCATGTTTTAGATATTTCATCCATTAATGTTAGAGCCAGTAATCCACAGTGTAAGGGCTTTCACACAGAGTTACCATGGGCTTGATCTGTAGCATAGCAAACTGTTGGTCACTGGTAAAAAATGACCTCCCAGTAGGCATTCAAAATGAACCAAGTGTCATTTTGCAACAGAAAAAAGCCGGGTTAAGTATATGGAATCACTATATAGAATCCTCTCCTTATTTATTACAGGAAATAGAGTTTTGAACTTTTTTTTTCTTTTTGCCCACACGTCTCTTTCAGTTTTGGAGTTAATGATATAAAACATTAGATGGACTGTTTCATGTTTGATAGGTGACAGAAAATCTTGGTTGTGTGCTTTTTTTATATACATTTGATTTTGTTTAATAATTAAGACTTTAGTCAAACGTAATATGTTAGAACTACAAATGTGTTTACATGTGTGTCAAACAGAGAAAATGAAACTTAACAAAGTTTAATAATTGATTTTTTCTTTTTGTCTTTCTGAGTTATTAAACTAATACCTATAAAATGGCACTGGATGTGATGTGACATACGTAAGTAAAAAGCATAGACGAAGAATCTTGTTGAAAAGAAGTTAGTCTTCTTAGCCTGTGGTTTATATTGAAAAATGGATTTTAACCTCAACTATAATCTCTGTGAAACCTAACCAATTATTTTGGTGCCTAAATCTAACCACACACATGTTGTTCAGCTCCATGATGACAAAGCTCTAACTATCCCAAACATTAATACTTTAATTAAACATTCAAAAAATAGAAGTGCTAGATCTCCATCACTCATTTTTCAATTCAGTCTTATTCATACAGTGCCAAATCACAGCAACAGTGATCTCAAGCCATTTTGTATACTAAGGTAAAGACCCTATATTAATACAGCCAGATGGCCACCTCTGTGCAAGCACCTTTGCAATAGTGGAAAGAAAATCTTCCTTTAAACTAGAAGAAACCTTCAGCTGAACCAGGGTTCAGGGACAGGGTGTCTGTCTCCTGAATCCAAACTGGAAGCTCGTTCCACAGAAGAGGGGGCTGAAAGCTTAAGATTAAGACTCTGCCTCCCATTCTGCTTTCAAATATTTAAATAATATCATTAAATATACCGATACTAACGTTACATGACCAAAACTTGTGTTTCAGTTTCTCTCCTCTATGTTAAGTACATTGCTCCCTTTATTTAGAGAATAGACATAACAGT